ATCCTGATACCCTACTCCTGAGGAGGGTTCGGCAGGGCACCAACTTCTCTTGCCTCCAGCAGACTTCGCATAGCCCAGACCTTTGAACAGCCCCACGTGCTGTCAGAGAACAGCGCAGGTCCCAACTATGGCCGACACTTCGCAGGTCGGCTATGTTTGTCTCCTCCAATGTTGAAGCTGTCACCACTACAGTTCATGTGTTGCGCAGCCATCGTGTGCACGGTACCAACTCCCCAAAAGCCCCTGAACCGATTCCTACCATCTCTTAATAGCACTACACTACCCTAGCCTAGACCTAGAGCGGACTGACTGGACCGACCGGTACCGTTTCAATTTCGGCCTCTAGGGCCTCTCCCTACTCGGCTATAGGCTATAGGACCGTCTTAGCGTAGGCCTTTAGGGCCTATCTGTCCTAGGGGTAGCCCGGGCCTGCTATTCGAAGTTAGGGTGGATGTAGGAAATTCTAGTTAGTGCGGGTCTATATTTTCCAAATTTGCAGATATGTCCCTCACTAATTTTCCTTATAGACCGGTCTCTCGGTTAGCCCTCAGCCAAACAAAATTACAAAACTAGCCTACCTATGTTACAGCCTCGAGCCGATGGGTCACAGGCAACAGAAACAGCAAGTCATTGCACCAGCACTTAGATTCGCAGGGACAAAGTTATGATTTGCCCTTCATAGATCTTTACGGACAGACCATCTGAACAGTTTGGCATTTTTGTAAGAACCAGGCGCAGGGGTAATTTTGGCAGATTTCATCGCTGGATCAACGTGGAAAGTCCCTCTTAAACCTAGGGGTATATTTGCAACTTTATACAGCCACACCTCTCTCATCAGTCATTGCACGATTATCGAGGTGACCTCACTCCTATTTTTGCACCAGTTCCAGGTATAATCGGACTCCTTCTCAGCAGGGGTCAAGCTGGCCAACCAGTAAGCTTTAAAATTCCTGACCATTTGCGACTTGACCCCTCGTTTTCTTGAATGTGCAGGTAGTTTCAGTTAGTAACTGAAATGACCAGCGCCTATCATACCGTTCCAGTCCAGTTGAAGTTTGCTTCTATGAAAATAAGCCTGGCACATTTAGCCCGTACCCGCTTACTCATTCCTTTACATAGTTACTCACTTGCTTTGATACACTTCCGTTCCCTTCCTCTACCTTACCGTCTCTCACCCTCACTCTTTGTGACCAACTTTGATGAGGATATCTTCGGTGCGTGTCCAGTTCTGATGAGAACACTCAGTCTTCGAAACTGTGTCTGATACAACTTTCAGTTCAGATACAATGAATTTGATGATATGTTGTATTTGAACGAGTAGTAGCGAGAAGTTTTTTATGGAAAAAAGTGTTTCTGGAAAAAAACGTTTCTGGAGTATGATCCCCTTCGTGTATTTCTCTCTACCTGGTGACAACCTTCTCTCCCAGCTCTTCTTTCTCCTATGTCGTTCACGAGCATCTCACACTCTCTCCCGTCTCTCTCCTCACTCTCTCGCTCTCAGTCTGCTCTCTCTCTCTCTCTCTCTCTCTCTCTCTCTCTCTCTCTCACACACACACACACACAAACCCCTTTACCCTTGTGTCCTTTTCCCAGAAGCCTGTCGAATTTTCGTGCAGGCAAAGGAATTACCGTCGCGTGATCTTTCGGCGTTATGTCCATTGGACCACAAAATCAAGATCTGTACGGTCTGAATGTGTGTTTTTAAGCCTCCCTTGGGAGTATGAAGTTTGATCTGCAATTGGACCTGGCAGTCGAGGATGCTAGTCAATGACCCATCATCGTGTCAATATGGCACGGTGTCGGGACTGGTGAGTCCCAAATAACTTCCCATCACTCAAGAGATCAAATATGGGCGAACTGTGCACAACAGAGAAATCCAGAGTGAGACGAGATAAAGGATTAGGCCGCAGGAGGGAGTAATGCCCTGGGGCGAGAACCACAGGGGAAAGAACTAAGCGGCAGCAAGTGAGCGAGCGCAAGAACAGGGGCACGTAGAACATAGCAGTAGGCCGGGAGGGCCATCGGAATGCAATAAGACTAAGGCCAAAGGGGCCCTTGAGCCAGCAATTGCAGCACGACAACAATAAGGGAATGAGGAAGCCAAGAGATGGGCGGCCCCGAGGCCACGGGACGCCAGGAAATGAGGGGCCAACGTGGAGGCCACCTACAGGGAGCCTCGGAGCAGAGGCCCACGACCAAAAGAGATCGGCGCGCACAAGGCGCGAGGAAAGACTAGGAAGAAGGGTCGCTATGAGGCGACAAGACGCCCAAAGGGCATGGGACACCTCGGGGAAAGGCACCCGGGGCCACATGGGACTAAGTAAAAATAACGGCATCCGGGGCGAAATGTGCCGGTGACCACCGGCGGGACTAAAGTATCGAGGACCACCGGTGGGGCCAAGTATCGAGGACCACCGGCGGGACTAAGTGTCGGGGACCACCGACGGGACAAGTGGCGGGGACATGTGAAAGTCCCAAGAAGAAACGGCGGCACCACATGAGGGAAAATAATAAATGCGAAGTGCACCGTCAAGATCAACATCTTGACGGCCAAGAGTATTAGCACCACTAGTGCAAGCATTAGTGGTGACAAACAGGAAGGCTAAAAGGAAAAGAAAAAGTAACGAAAACTGAAGTTGGAGGCATAGGAGCAATCCGAAAAATCTCGGATTAGCCTCCCCTAGGAAAATGGAGTCAAAAGTGAAACGGTATTCACCAGTTCGCGGTAGCAAATGCAGATCCCAGGGCTCGATCCCGAGATCCCCGTCTTACCTGTGTACAGTATCAGTGTCAACCCGTAGGCTTGAACCTGCGACCTGTAGGAACGCCAGTGGTAGGCAATTTGTCGTAGGTCAC